CATCTCTCCCTTATAACTCTAGCTAGCTACTAGGGCCTAAGCCCTTTGAAGTGTTGCTCTAACTCAAGTGAGGAGTGCTTTTCTTCCTTGTTGTGTTGTCTGTAATGAGGAGGGGGAGGCCTCCTTTTATAGGTGGAGTAAGGCGATGTGAGCTATATTTGGCGTGAAGCCTGGTCTCCACCGCCTCTGCATGGCGCCATGTGACCGCCATTCAAAGGAGCGACAGAGAGGTGCCAGGGAGGGGGCGGGCGATCCCAGGGGTCGGTCGACCCCTGACCAGGCCCTCTCGCCACTGCCTTCGCGTGGTGGGCCTCTGGGGGTGTATAGGCCATGCCCATGAAGTTTTACGCCAATTGGAGATAATTTGATTTGGGTTTGGGCTCTCTTTTTCCACATGGCTGGGCCCTGATTTGGCTTGGTAGTGGGCCTTCTCCTTCTGGGCTCTTTTTGCTTTGTACAATACCGTGTCATACTTTATTTCTTTACGCAATTTGAATGTATTTTCCATGGATTCTATGAATGTCCTGCTGCAAATGGTCAAACACCAAAACTTGTGGAGATTGTTAGTTCTAAAACCCTATGTCTAAGCTTGGTGTTTATTTTAGCAATTGTTATATGATAGTTGGCGGTTAGAAATGTGAGTTAAGCACCGCCAATAGAGTTCTTAGTGAGTAGTGACTTAGCTCTTGAGTGTGTCTAGTGATCATAGCAACTAGAATTATTGGGATAGGTGGCTTGCAACCCTTGTAGAGCTAGAGCAAATTGCATTACGCCGTTTGTTATACTAATCAATTACTCTAATGCTTTGTAGAGTTTTTAAATAGACTATTCACCCCCTCTAGCCATATTAAGACCTTTCATCTGCCACTGCAAGCCATCTAGTTTAGTCCTATATAGTGCCTGTCAAAACAAATATACATAACAACTGATCACATAAAGTACTTTTATTCTTAGAAAAAATAAAATAATTTTGCACGTATGGTAATCTGGGAGAAAAAAGAGTGATTCTAGTTCAAGCGCTACTGCATTGTTAATTAACGTAATCACATGCCGGAGGGTCTATGTTTTGCCATCCAAAAGCGCTACACAAAGAGCAAAAATAATATTTCTTTATATAAAATGCAAGCATATAAGCCAGAGATGTAATCAATCTTACATGACATGAGGGAGCTTAGTGAAGTGAAATTTCGTTAGTTTCATTTACTGTCTACAAGTCAGTTTGTGTGATAAAAGGCGACATCGCTGGCTTGCTTCTGATGTGGACATAGAACTGAGGAGAGAAGACTAGATAGCGACAAGTAAATCGATGCTACATGCCTACATTTCATGCTTTGCATTTGTGCTGATTGCTTATTATTTTTTTATTGTGATAGGTTTCTAAACCACATTTATATATTATTAGAATGTTTTGGGAATTTTCTAGTTTTTTAGATTTTTTTTTCATTTTGCTATAGCCAAATCTATTTTTTTGGAAGCATCTAGGGATATTTTCATGAGCTCTAAGTATTTTATTTGGATTTTTCATACCCTATTCTATCTTTAGAAAACTTTTCAGAATTTTTAAAACTTGGAGACATTTATGTGGTTTAAAATCTTATCAAGTATTTACTGATTTTTAACTAAAAACGATAAAACCCCTGTGAAGCAGGATAAGAAGGTAATTTAAATGGTTTTGAGTGTTCAAGGAGTAAAAAGTCTAGTTTTGAAGTTCGGACTACAACAAAAGTTCATAGGGGTAGAATGAACTTTTTCCAAAATACAAAAGGGAAACACTGGCTAGTCGGAGACATATCTAGCCCATGTCGGCTCATACGAGCCATCCAGTTTAGGGCCTCTCGAAAAGAAAGATATACATGAATTCTCGATCTTTCTTTCCCTCGTTACAGTACACAAGGGCGAAGGAGAGGTGATTTCGAATCCGGCGTGGATCTCGCCAGCTTCTCTTCGCGTCCGGCAACCACCCGGCAACCCTAGTTAGGTTAGGGTTAGTTTTCTTCGCATCGAGGTCATCGATGTGGAGTCCAGCTGATCCCGGTGGCTCACGGTTGTGGCGTCCGGTTCTTTTGTCCCTCCATAACATCTCTGGCGGCTGCGGTAGTGATGGTGCGTCTTCCAGAGATGGTGCTGCTAGGTATGCTTACTCCTATATGGAGAAATCAGGTTGGTTTATCCCTTTTGGGGTTGCTTTGTCGTTGTGTGATTTGGGATCGCCAGCAGTGCTTGTGGTGTTTGATCTCGTATCTCTCGACGATGATATGGCCGGTGGCCATCATAGTTTGCTCCGGCGTTCAGTGCTCCATGTGCACATCGGCGAGTTCAGTGTGCCAATCATTGCAGCATTAAAACTGTATGTGGCTTCTTTGGACACTTCCTCGTTGAGGTGGGAATCGGCTTCAAGTTGCAAGCTCGGCATTTCTCTCTTCCGGGGGCAGCATTTCAAGTGGTGGCTCCATTTGCCGGTGATGAAGACGACCAGGAGACCTTTGCAAGGACTTGGATGTAATTTTTTTTATCAGTGCTGTCTTTGTTAGGGTGTTTGTGTAATCCATGTTATGAATAAATGAAATGCAACCCGGTTTTCTCAAAAAAAAAAGTTTTTTATGCTTGGAAGGAAAAAAAAACACCAGAATCCTACACGTACGGTACTCTGAGATGAAAACAGAACTGTTTAAGGGCGGATGCGCGGCAATCACATGTGGGAGTGTCTGGTTTCATTTACCACTCACAAGCCATTTGTCGTCCCTTTTCTTCATTTGGAAATTCTCTTCCTGTGACTTTGCATTTCTCAAAAGTTAAAAATTTATATGCATAACTTTATGAATAACCTTTTCTGGACAAACTTCTTAGCTTTACAAATAACTTACATGAGGTTTTCGTTATTCAACCAACATCTAGGACGCCGGGACAAGTTATTACTCATAGGTTATTTGTTTTTCAACATAAACAAACTTGTGTAGAAAATTTTCAGAGAATTCATTTCTTTTTTAAAAAATAATATAACTCTAGCTACTGACTTTCCTAGAAAAACTTATCAAATAACTTCTAAAAAACCCCATATACCTTTTTGAATAAGTTTTTTTTGGTTAAATTAAACTTAAAAAATGTGATGTGGAAAAGGGGAAAAAGAAAAGAACGAAAAGGCAAAGGACACTAGCCACCCCTTAGTAAAACAATATTATGCTCTCTAGTGCTTCTGTCATAAAGGCATTGTTTAGCGTTGGGCGCTTCAAGTAAGAAGCCAAAGAAACCAAAGCTGAAGCCCTTGAAGAAGCACAGCCAAACAAGGTTGAAACTAGATTTCTAGTGCAAGACTGGCCTCTAGTACAGTGGTTAAAGCCTTAACGGCACGTGGGTTTTTGAGGCACCTCTACCCATACACTTGGATTGTAATCTTGCTGATTATTAAGCAATGATGTGCCTAATTCCAAAAAAGAAATAATGTTGCATGTTAATTTTCATTAGCAAGAGAGGAAGGAGATTGAGAATAACCTGAAACTTTCAAAGGAATTTGTAACATGAGGTTTGAATTCCTCCAAAATATGGAGGAAACTCTCTCATAAGTTTCTTCGAAGCAATCCTTCAGTCTAAACATCACGTATGCACGTTTCCCGTAAGATTGATTTCTTTGTGCCAAATACGTCCTACACAAGGGTCTCTGAGCCCAATAAGCTTTCCCACATGCTCTTGCTTCGCATTGGTGTTGATCTTTACTGCGTCGCGAAGTATTGGAGTCATGTTTTCCCGTAAAAGTATGTCAATCACCAATAAGGGAAAATGTCGATTCATGATGCTCCTTCTTGAGTGATACTAGTTAAATATAATCTAAGAATGAATCAAACATAAATGGTTCCATAGTGTAGTGGTTAGCACTCCAGACTTTGAATCTGGCGACCCGGGTTCGAATCCCGGTGGGACCTTTTTTTTTTAATTTATACCCAGCTAAACCTGAGTGCGTAGTCTGTCCTTCGTTTATAGCTCGTTTATTTATAGCGCACAGACAAACTGATTTTAGTTCAGAAGACTGTTTTAGGTGAACGTCCATTTGTGTCATTGTGCTTTAATTCCTGGTGTTCTGTTTCTCTTCCTACTTTGATCCTGTACTAGTTTTGTCATTTTACGAGGATGGAAGTTGTGCGCACGATGCAAACACTTGCGAGTTGCAACTTGCAAGTGGGTCAATTACTAGAATAGCAAGTTTTTTTAGAAAAACTAGAATAGCAGTTAATCGCGTCATCTGCTGATGGCCATTATACGTGTATATATAGCCATACTGAAACAACTCGTATACTCATTCAGTATTGAAAACTATAGCATTTCCTAAGCTCCTTGTGTTTCCCTCTAGAGGAGCAGTGCTGACTTGAAATGCATACAGCGAATCTGCAGTCACGAGCAACAAGTGGCAGCCAAACGACCAGAACCAGTATAAATCTCCTTGCAGCAACAAAGCATCGACAGCTGCATTCTTAACTTGTGTCTCGCAATATGAAACTCTCGTTTTGTACCTTCTCGATCGTTAAACGCACTCGGAAGATAATTATTGGATGACATTAACAGACCCAGCGGCAGCGGGGAACAGGGACGTGACGATGATCGGCTCCACATGCGCTAGCGCCTTCCTGGCCCATCAGGCCATGAGTATCTATTCAATCTCTAGATGTAATTAATATTTTACACATACAAGCTGTTCAATCTCTAGAAATCATTTCTCCAAGGGTCTCAGATATAACACATGAATGTTATGTTACAAAGTGCCGAATAATTACTATGGTATAAGCTTGAGGAAACCCAATTCTCAAGTGCAAGTCCAAAAATTTCAAGGGTGCAAGAGAAATACAGGGAGCTCATGCATAGCTCTGCAACAATATCTAAACCTCGACCCTCGGGCACGTGAAAATGAGGATAAGGAAAATTTTCTCATCAGATGTTATCCCCTCAAAATAACTCTGCAGCCTCAGGATCAACACCTTGAATTCAAGCCAGCTCAGATAGCTGCTATACTGTCAGTCCTCATGGGCTCTTCCTCTTCTTGGCTGATGATCCTCCTCGCCTTGCGCAGAAAAATACATCAAAACAACAAGAACGGCGACCAAGAAAACGAGAATGTATATCGCATTAAGGCCGAGCAGTGTTGGGGAACCACGACCCACTTTCTTCTTTATTGTTCTTCCTTCCCTATATCCATCTAGAAAACGACTAACTTGGGATCCATAGTCACCTTCTCTGAGACTCTCTGAACCCTCAACCTAAAAGGAAAAGCAATTACATTTCAATCTGTAGTAAATAAACAAGCGAGATGGAGATGTCAAGTTTATCTATGGCTAGGCATTTGAGTTGCAACTTGCAAGTGAAGAAAAAAGTGTATAACAGTGTAGCACATGTGATGCGTGTATGAACTGATACATAACAATGTAGCATGTTGAAACATAAATTACTTTTTCTATGTGGGTTCAAATATACAGTAGATAAAAACTAAAAGCAGTAAGAAAAGTCTACTTACCACTTCATACTCCTCTTTTGTGTCCCAGACAATAATCTTCGGCAGCTGCGGAACCTTCACATCAAAAGTCTCGGTGAATTCCTCCCATTGCTTGACTCCCACGTATCCGAACACTAAATCATGGTTTGCATTGGCCGCAGACCTCAACACTTTTATTAGTTGTGGAGAATTTTCATCTGACTCATCCTCCAAAATTGTAAGAACAACTTTCCTCCCATCATCTTTCAATAACTTCACTGTCTCTCTATCTACGGGCACAGTTACAGGCAGTTGGGATTGCCTTATAAAATCTTCCAAAAATGTTCCTGCATCCAAAACAACTATTGATATTACCATCAAGCTGGAAAAGTTATTCACTGCAATTGATGATAGGAAAATCACATAAGTATATACCCTGTGTCACACCAAGTCAATCACACATTTGCATCACTAGAAATATCAAAGAGTATAGGATAAACAGTAGGAATGACAATTGATGATTAAGGAAATAAACGATTTTTTTCCTCTAACCACCCAGTCACCCACACATCAGGAGCACAAAGAGAGTGTTATCCCATACCCTCAAATGGACCATAGAATACACTGTGCTCATTATATTTTGGGTTAACAGAAACCAACGCCGGTGACTTGTCAAAATCATACACAACCATCATATCCTCGGAGAAATCCTTGGCTATTGAAAACCATGCTTTCTTCTTGTACTTTGCTCCATATTCAACAATCAATGACTCATCCATTCCAAACCCAATAAACAATGGAAAATTGATGCCAGCCGCTTCAACAAAGCCTTTAATTGACGAGTCTGACTCAAGCACAGAAACATCAGGTGCAACAAGCTTCTTAAGGTTCTCAACTAGCAAATCAGCCTTCCTTGAACCTGTGTACTCTGAAAGTACTCCATGGTAAAAAAGAATCAAAGTAGGGAACCCACTGCATCCAGAGAAACACAAAGGTAAGACACCCTTTGCACACTCCCGTTTGGTAACTGAAATGCTCAAGTGAATCAGGTGACTTACTCTACCCCGTATTTAGAGCCGAGCTTCCTATATTTGTCGGCATTTACTTTAGCCACAACGACAGGTGTGCTCAGTCCAGCCAGCGCCACAGCGGCCTCATCTAACTGCAGAAGACAACCGTACGAATGGTCATCAGTTCACTTCAATTTCAACAGAAATGACCACAGCCATTGCATTACCCTGTTCCAATTTAACAGAAAGAAGGGGGTAGCAGATGGACGAGCTGATGACTCTGATTTGATCCGCAACCACTGGGGAATTCAGATGGCATTAGGAATCAATCGCTTATTTAGGGCGAACATAGTTCAATGATCTGCGTTTCCCGGCTCTAATCACACCTTGCCAAGATATCCCAAACGTTGCTATCAGCTAGGAAGATTCGGATGGTATTGAGAGACGATTTACATCACTTTGCTACGCTTGGCTAGCGAACCACTAAGTAAGCAGGCCTTGAGTAGAGACGAGGCATCGGTTACCTGCGGGGCGAGGCGCTTGCAGTGGCCGCACCAGGGAGCGTAGAAATCGACGAAGAGGAAGTCGGCTGCGCGCACCGCCGCCTCGAAGTTGCTCTCGTCAAGCTCCAGCACGCTCCCGTCCCGAGGGATCTCGAACTCCGCCGGCTCCCCTCCGCCTCCGTCACTGGCTACGCAGCAGCTCTGCGGCCGCAGAACTAAGATGACGAGGAAGAGGAGGAGAGGAAGCAGCACCCGACGCAGCGCCATCGCCATGGGTACGCTCCGCTCCGCTTGATTCGATCTCGCCGCCTCACCTTTTGAACTCAACTGCGGCCTAACAGTCTATATAACGCAGTTGACTGTGCCACGCAGCAGGCGCTTGCTGCCGGAGAAGACGTAACTTCACGACTTCTAAAGCGCAAAAGCACAGAGAGACGTAATAAAACCATAAAAGAGCATGTTCTCAGGCGTTACAGAAAAAAAAAACAGAATGAAAAGTTTGCAAGAGTGCAAGCTACAAACAATTGTATTTCAACTCCTAGGCAAGGCATTCTCCACCACCGAAACTAAGATTTGAGATCTGAGAGCTCACAGGGAGACTGTCAGCTGTGAGCAACAATATAACTGGCAAAATTAACTGCATACCATGCTGCTGCAGCAGATGTAACACATTCCATACATTCAAGAATGGAAAACCGGGGAATCAAAATTAGAAAGGATAACAATATGCTTTCTGTCAGTTCCACATCTTGGAAAAGTTCAAGACATCGTATTATTAACAGATATATCGGTATTCCTACATCAAAATCCAATTAGCGCTGAGAGCAAACCTGCAGCAAGAGAAAATAGAGAAATGGCCAAGCAAAACTGGAGCTCCAGCCTGAACTTCTCAAAATGCTATGGGGCAAATGGGAAAAGAAATTTCGTGGACAGGTATGTTTTGATTATGCAGATGCAGTCTTCTTCTGCTGGAAAACAATGGCATACACAGGGACTCCAACACCAGTGCCCACCGCAGCCAGCACGGCGAGGGACACCTTAAGCTGCTGGTGCTTCATCCTGTGCAGGTTGTACATGTGCTTGGCGTGGACGTAGTATGGCTCATCATGAGCATGCGCCCCCATCCTCCTTACGCCAGTAGATTGGAATGCACGAGAAGCTGAGAAATACGACATGGTGTGAGAGAAGTAGAAGAATAGGAGCTACAGCACACAGGAAGGCTAGACGTACTGCATGAAAAGTTTTGAGATTGAGAATATGGAAACTCCAGAAATGTAATTATCAAAATGCATGTCACATAAAAGATTTCCATATCCAAAGAGTACACTCATGCTGCAAGTTGCTTTGCCAACTCTAATAATGTCGTACAGAGACAAAGGTAACCATTTCAACTTTCACACTGATAATGTAATGAACCAACGGTACCATATGATTAACATAATGATGGCCATTGCATACGGATTGGTGAACTTTAAAAATTTGTACACAGGTAATATGACTGATACTGCTCATGCATTGAAAGGCTGATGAAGAATCCAGATTAGTTACATGGAGAAGAGATGCAGTTGATCCCAATAACATGGCAAGTGGGCATTGTGACAGAGAAACAAGAATGTTGACAATGAATAGTGCGTTTGAAGTAATGCAAAACTGACAGTATGATTTGAATATTACAAATTTAATGTAATTTTCTTTTCCACATGATCTGGGTCAACACATCCATACAAAATAGGACAGCTATAACTATTCTACACCACATTTGACAACATATAACTAGAACATCCATGGATAACGCATCATTGCAGCTGCTTTGAAGCTGGAGCTTGTGTGTTATATAGGCTCAGAAAAATCTAACCATTATTGGCAAAGGAACCCAATCAAACCTAGAACTATGAACTACCAACACGCAAGAGAATAACAAAATGGTAGCAAGAGAGTTGGCAAAGCAAGACAAATGGTTATACAGGCTGTAGAGCTCCGAACAAATGCAAGACAACACATTCATTTTAATAGTAGCATTTGCCACCATTGTTAACAGGCAAGGACACAAATTAGGCACCCATCCAATGCAACAATGCAAGCAGAAAACATCAGAGTTCGTGCAGTTCGATGCTGACAGAAACGAATTGCAATCTACAGCCATGTCGGGAATTAAACATGAACCACAGAATCATCTCCGCGGCTGGAGCGTTGGAGCAATCTTGCTTTTTGCAAGAGCTCCGTATTTGCTCCAGATCAAAATACATGCTCAATTGCTAACCAAAACGGCTGCACGCTTCGCAAATGCTAGTCATATTTTCCCTGCAAAGTCGAAGCGAGCATCTAAAGCTTTGCCACGCAAATCTAGCACCGCGCGAAATGGATCCTTTCGGATGCGACGAATGCGTCAGATCTAATAGGGCAACGAGGCAATCGGATCGCATGACAGAGAGACCCCGATCGGATCGCGGCGCGGGTGAGCGGAGGGTAAGGGTGCGCGGGTCTTACCGGGTGCTGAGGCGGCCTCGGCGCCTGCGGCGAGGAGTGGGAGGCCGGAGCGCGCGCCGCGGCTGAGCGCCGCCGTCGCCATCGTCGCGTTCCTCTTGGTCGTCGCCGGCGGTGAGGTTCGAGGCCTCGGGAGTCGGGAGACGAGCGCGTGCGCGAGCAAAAGGAAATGGACAAAAGTCAGAGCTGAAAAGTCAGTTTGGGATGTGTATCCTGTTGCGTGTGCTGTGTGGGCTCTCTACCTGGGCCGGGCTAAACGTATTGTCCATGACTTGGGTTTGAGATCGTTTCGTCATATCATGACCATGGTTTATCGAGGTTTTATGTTGAGTGATTTTATCTTCAGAACCTAGTAGGACCTATGAGGCACAATTGTTCTGAAATCTGGTGCTTTTCTTAATTTCTATGGTTGTCAAATCAAAGATATTATATGTATGTTGACGTAGGCATGCTAATTGTTATGAATGTTTATTTCTTGTGGTGGCATGTCTGTGGACATAACTGAATTATATGAGTATGTTTGGCTAGGTGGTTAACTCTTAGACAGGCTCTAAGAAGCCACCTATGGAGTGTTGCCTGTCTATCCCGTTAACCAGGCCTCGATGGGCCACCGATCAGGCTGTTAGAATGGTCGGTTGGCTGGTTCGTTTCGTTGCTGGTTCATAAAGAAATACTGCTGACTGATTTATGTGGGAAAAAAATAATGTTTCGACTGAAAATTTACGATCGTTTACGACAGCCAAACGAACCAGCTGGGTATCCTGTCTAGCTGGGAACGTGGGGAGAGTCCGTTTCCAGCAAGCCTGGCTTCTTGGCCAGCGCCTGGGGTCCGTTCGCGTCACCTCCCAGTTCGTGCTCGAGACGGCGCATGGAGTTCCGGCGAGGGCGCAGGGAGCAGAGGCCGCCACCACGCGAGCTCCGGCGAGGGCGCAGGGAGCACAGGACGCCACCACACGAGCTGCCCGGCGCTGGAACTCCGCGATGGCCTCGAGCGCCGCACGGCGGGCGTCGTCCAGGCCCGAGAGCGCAGACGGGGTGGCGCACCTCGCGCACCCACCGGTGGTGGTGCTCGGGCAGCTGGGGCGCCCATCGGCTGCCCGGCAGCGACGACGACGAGGCCGCTGTGCCCGTGATGTACAGCGCGCGCAGGATGTTCGCGGCGACCGAGTGGCTACGCGAGGAGCTGCAGGAGCGCGACGACCTCGGGCGTGGCCCGCCCGTGCCAAGATCTGGGAGCTGCCGCACCTCCTTTCCCTCGGCGTGGGCAGATGATGCAGGGCTCACTGGTACCCCCGCCCCGGCCTCACCATCGAGCGCGGCGTGGGCAGCTCGACGTCCGCCGGATTTTTAAGATTAGCAAATAGTTTTACCAAGTGTATATGAAATTTGTTATTTGCGGCGTATCCTAAAAATCTTTAGTTCCTTTCTAGTACTGTAATTGTCATCGGATTCTCCCTCGGCCTTTTCTGATCGATGGCTCCATGTGGCCAGGAGATATGGTGGTCGCGCTGATGGTGAGAGGTGGCGCTCACGAAGTGTTTGATAAATTGTCTTAAAGGTGGTAAACTTATCTGCACAAAGAAGAGGCAACTCTATCTAAGCCCAACCAACCAATCACACTAGTTGCTAGCTAGGTTTAAATAGTATAGACAACCAAACAAGTCTATCTTAACTTGTTGCAGACAGTCTTAAGGTAGCCTGGCTTATTCTAGCCAGGCTAGAAGGGAGTCATGTAATCAAGCATACCTTATATAACATTTGTCTTTGTTCTCGCTTCTTGGCGGACATAAAAACTTTTAGAGCTAACACCCCTCATCTAAAACTCTAAACACTCGTTGAAGTCTCTCGCTTTTTCTTGTCAAGTACATAAGAGCATTGTTCTGGATGTCAATTGATATCAACAAACATGATTTATATCTGAATGACAGTTCACACTACTACAGTATTTTTAACCGTGGCGAGTATTTTAGGTTAACCAAGGCGGTTTTTGCAACCGTCTCGACCAAAAGGTCACGGTTAATCATGGCTTAACTAAGGTGGTTGCCCTAACTGTCTTGGTTAATCAATTAACCGTGGCGGTCGGCTTTACACAATTGCCTCGGTTAATATATATTAACCGAGGCGGTTGTCTTAACATGCCCGTCTCGGTTAAGATTTTAACCGAGGCGGTTGGCTAAAGGCGCCCACCTCGGTTAAAGCAATAACCGAGGCGGTTGTCATTAAGTGCCTGCGCTCGGTTAATGGTTTTCATATTTAAAAAATGTCTTTTTAAATTAGAATTAGAATTTGAATTTCGCTAATGAAAACATAGATAAAGCAGAAAATAGATGACAAATATATATTACATCCATTCTTGTTCGAGGAACCAACATTTAAGTTATTACATTAGAGATGTCTTCATCATTACAAACCCACATCATTCATACATGAGCAACTAAGGACAGCCATACATATCAACCTTCCTTGGGAAAGAGGCCCGGTAAAATGTAATCCGAGATTCGTAACTAGTTGCTCCAGTTTCTGATACTCTCGAACTTTGGATCCCGCGCTAAGTCGCCTTCCTTATTGAAGAATGTATTCCCTTCATGCGCGCTCTCTGTGACAAACTTACATATATCTGCTACTGCTTACCTAAAGTTGTGGTCAACCTTCTCCCTTCGCCACCATCCTTGTGCTTTCTTGAGCTGCCGCTGAATTTGCTGCATGTCCTCAGGTACTCGCAAACGTAGAATCCACATAATACTAAGCCATAAGGTTGTTTAGCGCACTGTACGATATATAATACACAATCATTAGAGCATATATAGAGAGCAATAGTAGAAGGACATTATAGTATAGGAGTAGTAGTGAGAGTAGTAGTAGTTATGGGAGTATAGTATAGTAGAGTAGTGTAGAGGAGTTGTAGTAGTATTGGTATAGGAGTAGAGTAGAGTAGAGTAGAGGAGTAGTAGTAGGAGGAGGAGTAGTAGTAGTAGTAGAAGTAGGAGTAGTAGTAGTAGGAGTAGTAAAGTAGTATATCAGCAGGAGTAGTAGAGAGCATGCTTGATATAATAACATAAACGACTTTTGATATACTTACCGGGAACTTGTGCTTGAGTTTCAGTTTCATGCCATTCTTGATTTTTTTTCTCCTTGGATCTTTGGTCATAGGATTCGGGATCTTGCACACACTTCTTATAAGTGTTGTACGAAAAACCAGTAGTGTTAACGACAATTTCAACACGTATGTTAATTGTATATGAATTTTTTTGTCACTTACTATCTCAAACAGCTTTTCAAAGTGCTTGTACCCTGCTTTGTTTGTTTTCTGTAAAGAGTCAAATATACAAACCCTTCTGTCCTAAGGATAGATTATAAATGCAATCTAGTGGCCCATGATGCCCTAACTGCACCATTCACACAATACATATTAGAAATGTACAAATATGAGAAGTCATGATCCCAGTACCTATATATATATATATATGTTCCAAGTATCTTTTGGACTTAGCCGAACTGGTGGGTGGCCATGATGCACCCATTTTCCTGGACCTTCTTCATGGCTTCATAGATGTACATTACTACCCGATACTTATATTCGATTACTAGATCTTCCTTGTATTTCTTTCTCTCCTTCGGGTTCAAGTTCACTAGCTTTTCATGAGTGTCTGGTATATCGTAACCCACGATGGTTCTCTCTGTAATAAGCATCGGAGAGAGATAGATAATACCCTTGTCCAATTCCTTGCTTACATAGGCCTGCATCCTATAAGGAAAAGTCATCATGGCATTATTAGTTTGTTCCTAAAGTGCCTACAGCGATGCAGTGGTGTCAAAGTCGCAAGTAACTTACAGGGCAAATAAGGTGACTTGGGTGACGTCGAGGTCCTTTCGCCGCAAGAGTCTATGCATGTCGTGGAAATCTACAATGACTTGACCATCAGTGGGCGTGTGGAAGTACTCCCCGGAATCTTGATGACGAAGTTTTCTAGGCCCACTTTCACCGCTTCCATGTACCACAGATGGAACCTCCTTACTTCCCACTTTTCTTCAAGGAGGTCGCCCAAGGTCAACATGAACTTCCCATGCACGTAGTTTTTGGGGCAATCATCCGACCGGGGCCAAAACGATGGCGGTGTTTTCGGCCTGCAACACCGACGCTTGAGATGTTAGGGAGTGGAAAAAGCAGATAGCATCTCGAAATGAATTATAGATTGACTATGCTTGCTAGTAGCATACCTTTCAAACGTACTTGAGTATGGGTGCTCGTCAGCTATTTGATAGGCCACCCAACTCGACTTGGTGTGGTTGGGGGGTATGGCCTCCTCTTCATCTACATGCTTCCTTGGCGGGGGAAGACATTGGTTTGAGCCCTGCTTCGAACCACTTGTAGGCAGTGGTGTCACATTGCCTGATGTTGCCCCTATGCTTCCCTATGGATTGCTGTTAACGGGAGGCGGACTGCCTGGAGGACTACTGCTTGGGCCGCCAACATTATCGTTGTCATCACCGCCATCGTCATCATCATCGTCACCTGGGTCATCTGGGGGAGACGACGATGGGTGTGAGGGCTGTGACGCCGGTGTCGGCATGCCCAAGACAATGTCACTCTTGTTCCATAGAACGCGCATGCCAATAGTAGCGCCGATGAACCTGTACCCCTCTTCAGTGGGAATGTCGATTTTATCCTTGTCAAAATCTTTGTTGGTCCACGTCACGTTGACCCGGGCATAGTCGGGCAGGATCGGCTTGCCGTTGTACATGGCACCGCTTTCGGGCGATAGTGCCACTCCCATGGCCACGTCCTTCTTCCTCTAAGCCCTACCAAAGGGCACCTGGAGCGTGCAGCTCGTTGGTTCAATGATGTCATCAACCGGGTACTTAGGGAGTTGTTCGGTCCATGGCACCATCTACCCTTGTACGGTGGCTTGACCTTGTGGCAGCAACACGCCAGCCTGGCAAAACATCTACATCCTTAGCTCCACCATCTTGGGGTCGGTGCTCGTGAAAGCGTCTTGTATCTTCCCCATGATCATGTCCTTGACTGCCTCATCACGGCCTTTCTAGATGAGCCCTTCCTTGTACCTCTGCCTCCTGTGGTTAGAG